TGTAGCAAGTGTTGAATATATGCTCCATCATTTAGCATACCATTTACCATGCAAGAGTAATCTTTACACACTGGAAAGGGAGAAACTACTGCAGAGATGGATCTAACATTCTAACCTGTTCAAAGTGTCTATATAGATAGGATTTCACATCAGTTGTATGAAAGTCCAACATAGCGATCACGCAGTTGTTTTAACTTGCTGATATGGTGTAAGCAAAAACAATTTGCTGGAAAGCCAGATTGTGTATAAGGAATACTCCAGTACTAACCTACTGATTACAGAATAACTTTCTCTCTTTACTGTCACTAAACCCAGGAGATTGGGACAGGGTAAAAGCGGGAACAGCCCAGAATGGGATGGAACAGGCATTAAACAAACAATAGTACTGCAAAAAACACTGAGATGTATTACAGACACTCGAGAAGTGAAAACATGGAACTCTTGCACCTTTCCAGGACAAAATGCCCCTGGAATACCCCAGAACAAGCCGGAATGGGCATTAAACAAATAATAGTACCTCAAAAGACAGTGGGATGCATTACAGACACTCGAGAATAATATTTTAGAAATAAACATGCAGAACTCTTGCACCTTTATTAACCGTTTCCAGGCCAAAATGCCTCCAGAACACCTGAGAACAGGCCGAAACGGGCATTAAACAAACAGTAATGCCAAAAAAATGGGATGCATTACAGACACTCGAGAATAATATTTTAGAAATGAAAACACAGAACTCTTACATCCTTATTAAACCGGCCAAAATGCTTCCAGAACACCCCGGAACAAGCATTAAACAAACAATAGTACCGCCAAAAAATTGGGATGCATTACAGACACTCAAGAACAATATTTTAGAAGTGAAAACATGGAACTCTCACATCTTTATTAACCCTTTCCAGGCCGAAATACCTTGGCGTTTTCACTTCTAAAATATTGTTCTCGAGTGTCTGTAATGCATCCCAGTGTTTTTTTGCGGTACTATTGTTTGTTTAATGCCCATTCCGCCTGTTCTGTGCTGTTCCAGCTTTTACCCTGTCCAAGGGATTTCAGTAGTAATGAGAATGCTTCTTTAAAATTCCCTAACAGCTTTTTAACAGGGGGTTTTAATATAATCCTACATAGTCTCTACAGGGTTGCCCAAAGAAGGCTGATGTACCTTTGATGCTACAACCTGAAACTGAAGAAAATCCAGCTGAATTTAGTTGGTCATGTGCATAAGCCAATGTGCATATACTGCATGGAAGGGAGACTTTCATAAGTTGCTGCCTTTCCCATCAGTGCACGAGGAGGAAGGAGGAAGGCACTCCGGTCGAAATCCTCCTTTCAAAACTTACAAGAGCCCTCACCAGATTTGGATCCGTCTACTTTCATCACAGAATCTAGATGCATTCGTCCGAGGGCTAAAGGGCTCAGGGGACTCTGATCCACTGAGTATGGAAAAGAGCAAATGCGTTCGGCTTCCTGCCTTAAGGATGGTCTGGACTCTGGAATTCCTTGTGCGATGATCCTTGACATCTTTAGGCACACACCGGAGACGAGTACAGCCGTTTCCACCTCCCGCACCTTACCTGCTCCTTGAACTTGCGAGCAGCCTTTTCCATTTTCTCAATTGTGTGCTCCCGCCTCCACTTCGCTTCTTTCATCTTCCTTTGGACTGTCCTCCTCCTGCGCCAATTCAGCAGCAGGAACGTAGCAGCCCCGCAGCACAAGACAGCGGAGACCAGGCTGACACTCATTCCGACGTCGTCCCCTGCCTTCTCCAGCCGACGCCGCAAACGGACTAGCTTTCGACCTAAAAGCCTGCCTGCGCTGCGTCGTTACCCAGCGGTCGATGAACCGCCCCTCGAAAATCCGGCTTGGATTTCTACACACGGATCTTCAACACATTTGCGCGCCGGAAGTTGAGAAATTGTGGCCGCTCGCTCTTCTCTTTTGCCCCAATGGTTGTTGTCAATTTCACACAAGCCCCATTTTGCTCCCCCGCGTCTACACAGTCCTCTAAAAACAGCAGCTTGTGTGAAATTGACAGGTACCATCGGGGCAAAAGGGAAGAGCGCTTGTGGGAAATCGGTTGTGTCTCTGCTGTGACTGAAGAACTTTGATCGAATCCTGAAAACTTCACCTGCAAAGATTGCCCGCTTTACAGAAGTTATTCCAAGCGCTGTGGCTTTCTGGCTGTAAAATCATCAGATTTACTAGCCAGAAGTTTAAATACAACAATGTGTGTAATATGACAATATACATGAAGGGAGAGAGCTTCAACTTTTGCAAACTTTTGGGAGGAGAAAAAGAAAGCTCGGGAGACAGGGCCCAGATGTGTGTTAGCAAAAGTACACAATATAATGGGCTGAGTATCCGGTTTTTTAACATAGGTCTTGTTTACAAAAATAAGGCATAGGTATAAATATGACATGAAAGCACAGATCCTACTTTCTTTCAGAACACTTACAAAACATGTTAATATTAAGGATGGATCCCTGACTCATAACTATTTTTCCAACTTTTGGAGCATATTTATACTTCAACTGCCAGACACCCTGGCTGTTAATAACTTTAACAATTAACTCTTTTGAAACAGGGTTGATACACTGTCACTGTCCTGCCCTTAAGTTCCACATTTTTTATCCTCACCAGGACCTCGTGAGGTAGGCTAGCCCAAGGCCAACTAGCCTACCTCACAAGGTCCTGGTGAGGATAAAAAGTGTGGAAGGGACCCTATACACCACTCCTTTCCCCAAAGGCAGGATAAAAACAGGATGCCAAAATGCACTAGAACATCATTTATGGATTACTGCATAGCTTAGATTCCGGATTCTCATACACGTAAAACAACTTGACACCAAGAGGCTTATGTGAAGTCCTAGTTTTGTAGGATTTAATATCTAAACCACCAAGTCAACTATGATGACCTAGTCCCATTCCCTCACTCAGACATAGGATTCCCCCCTTTTTTTCCCTTCCTTTCTGAGCAGTCCCTTTATCTATTTTCTTTTCCTGAACTTGAGGGAAAAGACAAGATCACCCTCTTTAGCTTAAACTTCTGAAATGGCACACACGAGAGGCTTTAGAACATTCAAAAATAAACAAGATATTTTATTCAATGTAGAAGTTGAGAAATGGAGGTCTTCACTGACCCTTCCACTCCTCTTTGCTAATCTTCCCAGTCCTCTGTCAGTGATAAACTGAATTCTCTTCAGCAGTCAGTTCCCAAGTCTTTCTACTCAGCTGACACTAACCAATCAAATCCCTTTGAGCAGCCTGTCACTCAAGGCTCTCTGGTTCTGTGAGGCATTAACAGTCCTTCACGTTTACACAGCACTTGTTGTTGTTCAGTCGCACAGTCAAGTCCGACTTTTCGCGACTCCATGGACCAGATCACACCAGGCTTCCGCCGTCCTCTAAAGTTGGCTCAATTTTATGTTTGTTGCATCTATAACACTGTCTAACCATCTCATCCTTTGCCGTCCCCGTCTTCTTTGACCTTCAATCTTTCCCAGATTATACAGCACTTATGAGCCTTTAAAGCGCAGTCTGCCACACCAATCAAATCCTAAACAATGTTTGGGTTTTTTTAATCTGTAGGGCAGATCTAAAACTCCATTTGGTTGGATGGATCTAAGGAGGTAGTGAGCTGCGGTGGCTCAGAGGTTAAGACACTGAGCTGCAGACTGGAAGGTCTGTAGTTTGGCAGTTCAAGACCTGAGTACTGCATGACGGAGTGAGCTCCCATCTCTGGCCCCAGCTCCTGCCAATCTAGCAGTTCAAAAGCAAGAAATTGCAAGTACTGCTTCGGTGGGAAGTTAACAGCATTCCGTGTGCCTTGGCATTTAGTCATGCCAGCCACATGACCACGGAAAATGTCTTCAGACAGCGCTGGCTCTTTGGCTTGGAAACAGATATGAGCACCGCCCCCTAGAGTCGGATTCGACTGGCTTTCAAGCAAGGGAAACCTTTACTAAGGAGGTAGAGTCCCAATGCAGTAACTGTTATTTCTGCTATACAACTGAACTGGTTATTTTCCACTGTAAAGGATTTCAGTATGCAGACAGACACACATCACTTGCATCCATATACAGTAACAGCTAGTGGTAGTTTTCAGCTGAATACTGGAATTTCAGGTTATGTGCAATGCTGGTCTATTTCTGTTACCAACTCTGAAAGTTTTCCCATGCCCCTTCCTACCCTCTATTCAGTTACCTTCCATCTAGAACATATTAACCAATACGGAAACTTACTGTTGTATCCGATGTAAAGTTCTTTCCACTCAATGAATTACCTTGATTTGGTCAGGGCCTCTTGAGCTGTGGCCCTTAAGAACTAGCTACCCTCTCAGATTTGACTGTACAGGCCACATGCTGACAATAAAAACATTTTTCTTAAACTGGCTTTTAAAGTGTAGCATTAATAGTCTTAATGGGAGGGCTTCTAGTGTCCTGGCCCCACTGGGGGACCTCCTGATAGCACCTGGTATTTTTGGCCACTGTGTGACAGAATGTTGGGCTGGATAAGCCATTGGCTTTCTCTTACGTTCTTATGTACTGTATTGGTTTGAGGACAGATGTCAGCATGGACCATGTACATACAGCCTGCCAAGTGCACCCTATACCTATATTAGATATCTTGCAAAAAAATGGATCAAGCTTTCATGTACACCAGAATTTTCATTTGAGGTAAACAAGACACTGGAATGGCAAAACTGCTGGAAATCCCAAGTCTGCAAATTTTAACAAGAGGGAGAACATCTTTTTCCAACAGTTCTGCCAGCACCTCAGTTATTGTTTTATACCCTGCACAGACTAACACAACTGTCTGTATCACACCATCTCTGCTTCAACTTAATACTGTTAGGAATCAGTTGATTTTACAGCATGCCGAACAACATGTTTTTCTTCTCCTAACTCCCCCCCCCCACTTTTTGGTTTAATATCTGATCTAAAGGACAGCTTAATCCAAGAATATGAGGGAAAACACAAAAACAGTTCATATTTTTGTTTCCATGTTTTATTCAGCAGTTCTTGGTTACCACACTCTACTTGGGAAATATGAGAGGTAACTGACCAAAACCTTTGCCATGCAGGTGATCCACATGACAGAAGCAATGTTTAAATACCTCTAATGGGTATAGTGCAGCATTCACAGGTATGTGATTTAGATGGATGCTCCAGGCACAGGCACATAAATGTTGTTCCCCACTCACATGGACTGCCTATGAAGGGAAAAGGTTTTTAGCAACAATTACGGGCTGTGAGTTACATGTAAAGCCCAAGGTGCAGTCATTCAAGAAGAACATTTGTGCTGTCTTGTAAATTCAATTGCCGCCACCCCATAATATCACCAAGATGTCAGATGCAAAGCTGGGTACCCATTCTCCCTCTTTCTACAGCATACTCTGTCTCTTCTATCCCACTCTGCGCAATTTGCAAAAATACATGGGACCAAAGTTGGATGTGAGGTGGGGAACAACAAGCTCTCCAAGTCGGCAGTTTGGAAAGAAAGAAAACGTGTCCTGAAATAGTCTCCGGAAAATGCTCAAGTCTTCAACATGGACATCAATGTTGTATTGGATGTTTAGTAACTCCACTGCTCTCTCAACCACGCACTCATTTTGTAGCTGAGATAAGGAACACGTCGAGTAAACCACCTCTCCTCCTGGCTTGGCAGCAAGGATCCCAGCACTGGAAACAGAAAAGAAGAAAAGTTTGTTAGGGGGAATGACCTAAAGCTGACATGAGCCACTTGCTCATCAGTGTATCATGTAACAATACAAAGAGCACACAGAAGCCCCAGAAGCCCCAGAGGCCGTGGCCCATTACTCTGACCTAAATCCCACTGTCCACTGTTCTCCCACCACAAGGGAAACCATTTAAATTCACAGAATCAGCCTCTTCCCATATCCCACTAATGTATCACTTACGCCATCATTTTGATGAAGCATCATCCTTTTGCTCCTTCTACAATGCACCTGTAATTTTTAAATTTCCCCACACCTGAGAGCATTGCTCCCCTCACCCCATTATGTTGTCATGTTCCGAGCTGTATTTTGCAAAAAGTCAGTTGATACTCCTGAATAATTATATTCCTATACAGATTCAAGTCCAATAGCACTTTGGAGACCAACAGGAGGAGTTTCAGGGTATAAGCTTTCAAGAGTCAAACCTCTCTTCATCAGACATGAGTAGATAAAGGAAGCTTCGACTCTCAAAAGCTTATATCCTGAAACTCCTCCTGTTAGTCTCTAAGGTGCCACTGGACTCAAACCTAACTGTTCTACTGCAGACCACCATGGCTAACCCCTGAAACTAAGTCTGGCTGGATCCTCAGCCTTTAATCTGCCTGGTCACTCATCAGTGGGAAGTAAGAATATTTAGAAGACCAGGGAAGGATACAGTAAAGTGCATGGCTGTTCCATTTGTTAAAACCACAAGACAGATATGTGGGGCAGACAAACAGACAAGCAAGCAGTTCTGTGGGCTAGTGACTTCTGTGGACTTCTCTGTCAGGCCATGAGCCCTGTTTGACTACACAGTTTAACCCTCTTCATGGTATAACAGAAACAGACTAGCATGGCTCAGCAGCTATTGCATAAGGTCAGGATCACTCACATGAGCAACTCCAGCTGGAGCATTGGCAACATCTGACGCTCTCCTTTCCTCATGTTTTTGAATATATTATTGTCCTCTTCCATGACTGAATGCCGGTCATTTGTACATGGCACATCCACAAGCACCTGCATGAGAAAAAATTCCTTCAACTTAAAGTCACAAGCTTTCTCTCCACTCTTCCCCAAAACCTCTTGCTTATTTCCTCCCAGCCATACATATCTAGGCAGGTTTCTTTTGACCTGTTTCTTCTGTAGGACTATTTTTCTATAGCTGCGAGGAAATTGGCTGAGGTTTTTCTTATAAAGCTAAAACAAGAATTCTTAGGTTTCTTCGCAATAAGTATTAGTGGACTACAAGAGGGGGACCCGCGATACTCGCAGGGGGGGGAGAAGAGCTCCGTCTCCTCCACACACCCCGCTCAATCTCCCCGAGGCGGCGGAGGCGAGTCCGCCCCCCCCCCCGGCTCCAACCCGGCAGGGCTCCGCGACGGCGAGGCCGGTCCTCCCCCCCGCCCGGCTCCGAGGCGGAGGCGGAAAGGCCAGTC